GGATCCCAACTCTTCTTCTAAATTTATTCTTGCTAACTACCTTTCCCTAGTTGACCTTCAAGTTAGGCATTCTTTCAAACAGTTTCACCATAAACTTAAAATTCTCAAACCATTGTCTATCCTCCCGCATCACAAAAGAAATAAATAAATAAAACTAAAAATATGTCATCTGCAAATTGTAAATGGGTTAAAACCACCCTATCTCATTCACACACTGCACCTATTAATCAATTGCATTCTATTAGCAATCGAAATCAGTCTACTTAACACATCTGCAACCAAAGTAAAAAGTAAGGGGGATAAAGGATCACCTTGTCTGAGTACCATCATTGCCCTAAAAAAGTCCCTCACAATACAATTAACAATCACTGAGAAGTAAAAAGTTTGCAAACACCCCTCAACCCATTTATACCACAATTTCCCAAATCTGCAATTTCTCATGATGGTAAGTAAAAACTCCCAATCCACAAGATCGTATACTTTCTCCAAATCTAGCTTTATGGCAACTCCCTTTCTCCCTGATCTTTTTTGCACCTCCACACATTCAGTGGCTATAAGAATCTGACCCATGAACTGCTTTTCCTAAACAAGAGCCCCTTGAAATTGTGTGATAATCAAACGAAACACTTACTTAATCCATGAAGACAAAACCTTTGCAATGATTTTATAAATGCTAGTAACCAAACAGATTGGTCTGAAATCTTTTGGATGACTAGCATCAATCTTCTTCGGTATCAAAACAATAAAGGTAGAGTTAATACCCAGATTTATAATCCCACGTTTGTTAAATTCTTTTAAGGCTTTGAACAGATCATCTTTTATGACATCGTAACAATCTTGATAGAAAGCCATTGTAAAGCCATCAAGGTGGAGCCTTAGATCTATCCATGGAAAACATTACCTCCTTGATTTCTTCCACACCAAACCTCTTTGTTAGAAACTCATTTTGAGATCTATCTGAAACAGGCCAGTCTAAATCTTCTACAAACCATCTTCCATTCAAAGGCCTTCTATAAATCAATTTAAAATAATCCACGGAGGCTTTTGCAGCATCCTCTTAATTTGTAATTATTCTACCCTCCATCTCCAACAATGAAACAAAATTCTTCCTCCTACCCATGGAAATAGCCTGAAAAAACCAGTGTTTCCATCACCCTCCTTAATTCATCTAACCCTAGACTTCTGCCTCCAACTTATTTCTTCCCTTAATAAAGCTTCTTACAAGTCTCTCTTTAGGGTCAGTCCTTTCCTCCTAAAATCCTCATTTAATGGGCTCCTTCTTCCTTCCTATCAATTTCCTCTATTTGATTGATCAAATTTTCTTTTCTTTCCTCCAATCTCCCAAAGTCCATTCTGTTCCACTCTTTGATTTTTGCCTTCATCTTGCAATTTCCTAAAGAATCTCTGTGCTTCCCATTTAATTTGTTGTTGTTGCTCACCACATCATTCCTTCACCTTCTGTACAAACCCTAGATTGGGAAGTGTAAGCCACATATTTTTCAAATCGTAAGGTTCAAAATATCAATACAGGCCAATACGCCCTATCTTGGCTCGCCTTTTATTTATTTTTTTTTTTAGTTTTTCTTTCAAACTGGTTCAGAGGGGTTAGTTTAAGGCCTGTCTACCCCCTGAACCAGGTCAGACTCAGACCCTGAAACACCCCCTGTAGGGGCATTTGGCCAATATGGCCCGATACGTATCGAAATTTTGAACCTTGGGAGAAGGGCTACCCACATTACCTTCTTGGAATAAACAAATAAGCTAGTGATCATAAGTAATTCTAAGCATAGATTTGCCCAATAATCCAATCCATGAACTTCCCAATCAAGAGCCACCAGAAATCTATCCAATTAAGAAGTTATTTTCTTGAAGATTGGACCAAGTGAATCTAGTTTGCCTAAGGAAATTTCTCTATGCTCAAAGGAATCAATGAACATACTAAATTTCCTCATATTAGTTGTAATCCTTTGCCTTGAGTTATTGATCTCGATGTCTTGTCTACAAACCTGATCGCATTAAAGTCCCCACCTAAACACCAAGATCCATCCCACAAACCCCTAATGTCCACTAACTCATCGCACATCAGATGTCTTTCCCTATAAGAATTCGGGCCATACACATTAGTCGAGACCCATATAAACCCATCATTAACATTCTTCAATTTTACAAACACCATAAAGCAACCGACCAATTGTTCAAGACATTTTATTGCATCATCTTTCCATATGAGGCTCTCGCCCCCCTCATTTCCCAGCCAAGTCTCACCACCCCATATTTCCCAGCCACAAACCTCCACAGTGACTTCTCCTCTCTTCCTAGGAAAAACCTCCACAACCACTTTTCCCAATAATGCTCTGTTAAAAGTTCCCACTCTCCTTATCCCAAGCCTGCCTTTCTCCTTTGGTAAACACACCTTATCCCCCTCTTCCACCTACACCCTCCCAGAGAAAATCCCTCTGGAGTCTCTCAGTCCTTTCAACAACCTTAGGTGGAACCTTTAGTAGGGACAAGTAGTATGTTGGGAGGCTAGATAAAAAACACTTCTGATTTAGAGTCACTCTCCCCCCCCCATGGATAGATATTTGGCTTTCCACCCATCCAGCCTTCTCTCTATTCTCTCCAAAAAAGTGGTTTCCACAGATTCACTGCACCCCCAACTGGCAATTCCAAAAAAGTGAAAGGAAGTTCTCCAGTCCTGCATTCCAAGACATCACCACATTCCATCAGCAAATCCCTCCCCACTTCTCCAACTGCAATTACTGTGCTCTTTGACAGATTGATTTTCAGACCTGATAGCAATTCAAAGGTTGCTAGCATTGCCCTTAGATTCAGCAGCTGATCCACCTTTGCGTCCAAAAAGATTAGAGTATCATCTTCATATTGCAGACGAGTGATGCAAGGTCCATCTCCTCCTACCTTGAAGCTCTCAATTAAGCCCATTTCACCACTTTTCTAAAGAGGTAAGTTCAGAATCTCCATCACCATGACAAACAGCAAAGGAGACACATGATCTCCTTGCCTCAAACCCCTCGAAGCCTGAAAGAACTCTGAGGAAATTCCATTCAGCAGTACTGAAAAGGAGATAGTGGAAATGCATGTAAATACCCAAGCCCTCCATTTCTCCCCAAACCCCATCAAGCTTTGAATTTCTTCTAAGAAGCCCCACTCCACATGATCATACGCCTTCTCAAAGTCAATCTTACATATCAGACCTGGTCTCCCACTCCTCAAACGGGAATCAATGCACTCACTAGCCACTAGGACCCCATCCAGTATCCGTCTCCCCTCTACAAAAGCCATCTGGGCTTCACCAACCACTTCATGGTCTCCCACACCTCTTATCTAATGTGCAGTTCTAACTGTTATAGCCTCAATCAGCTCTTCTTGGGTTCAGCTTTTTTCGTTGAAGAACCTTTGGTTTCTATCCCAAATAGTCCACACTAAAACTGATTTTTCTGTCCTCCACATAATCCTTCCCCTTTTTTCTATTGCCACAAGAAGTCAGAGTTAAATAGGCTTACCACATTGTGTGTGTGTGTTGGGGGGGGGGGGTGCAGCCAAAGAGAGAACAGACAAAGTCCCAAATACAAGTCACAAAGGAACAAGAGATTAATAAATGAGGGAAGCTCTTTTCCTTTATTACCCCTCCCTTCTATTTCTAACCCTTTATCTATCTCCACCTCCTTGTTAACTATTCTCACCAACCATCTTCCCTCCTTGGAGATTTAATAATGTATTTATCAATAAAATTGTATTATAATATGTATCCCACTATACTAATTGTGATGTATTTCATCATTTGTACCATTAATATATGCATGTCTTACGTATTTATACCTTATTTTTGGCTATTTCAACCTTAAATTTAATGTTATTAACGTATTAGTGGGATTTAAAGCAACTTCCCTAATTTATCCAAGTGTATCTATATCTTTCCACCATAACCATGCATTTAACATATCTGTATCTATGTTCGTATGCAAACTTATTGATACAATACTCAATACGGATACCTTGACCCTTGCTATGTATTATCAAAAAGGAAGTTTTAAGTTGTTATCATCATAGCTAATTATAGATGTCAAGTCTAACCAGGTCAGACCCAATTATCTCGATTAATAATTGGCTTGGTTCTGGACCTGGGATGTCTATCATACAAAACCAGTTAATAATCAGAGGGGCTCATACACACTGTCTCGAATTTATCCAAGTGTATCTATACCTTTCCACCATAACCATGCATTTAACATATATGTATCTATGTTCATATGCAAACTTATTGATACGATACTCAATACGGATACCTTGATCCTTGCTATATATTATCAAAAAGTTAGTTTTAAGTTGTTATTATCATAGCTAATTATAGATGTCAAGTCTAATTAGGTCAGACCCAACTATCTCAATTAATAATTGGCTTGGTTCTGGGCCTGGGATGTCTATCATACAAAATCAGTTAATAATCAGAGGGGCTCATACACACTGTCCCAAACCAGAACCAACCCATTGACAGCTCTAAGCAATAAGAAGCTGTGTGTTGCAAGTTGAAGGGCTTAGAAAGCCTAGAGGCAGACCAAAAAGGAAATTGTTGGTTGAGGTAGTGAAAACGATTTGAGGGCCCATAATGGTACCAAATCAAGCATAATGGTGAAACAACATTCATGTAGCTAACCCCAAAGAGTTGGGAAATGATTTTGTTTTCATCAGTACTTTATTGAATCATTGTTAAAACCTCTTTGATATGGTTACCAATCAAAAAGCTAAATAAATACATGAACCCAAAAGTCTATATTTGATGCAATTTTTGGATGGAATTGCTGAAAGAATAAAATGATTTGCAGTATAAAATTATCAAACTTCTTCATGATTGCATTAAAACAGCCTAGCAAAAACATAGAAATCAACATAAAAATTTGATGCATCTAGCAGTATATTTTCAGTAATAATTTGGACCAAACCATGCTAGAAAAATACAACATATTGGTTCCATAAGCACTTACAACAATATGAGGCCTCTTAGCAAGGGCGACAGCTTGTTGCATCATATCTACCCCTCCAACAACCTGCAGGCATTGCATTGCAGCTTAGCATTTTTTGTTTTTTTTGATCAGTCAATTTTTTTATTTTTTATAGACAAATAAATAATTATCTGATCACTATCAAGACAAGTGTCAATTAAATAGAAAGGTATACAAATTGTGTACAAAATGGAACCAGAGGATCCAACAAAAAATAAAGGAGAATGGGTCACAAACCCTAATATCCAAACCACCATGTAAGCATGAACAAAAAAAGGGAGTTGCTCCCAAAAAAATACAAGACAATGATTTCCAACCAAATTCTAGGATACCACCTACAACACTTTAAAGGGATTCTAGCATTTCCTTGCACCACACATGAAGAGGGATGCCTAAGATACAAACTCACTACCTAGAGTAACAATACAAAAGGCCAAAAGTCCTGATATTGGGGCTCCAAACATCTAAAACAAGATCTATCCAATTGCACAATCTTTTAAAAAATTTCAGTAAAATTTATTTTCTTTTTTACTGGAAACAAAAGCTCCATTGATATAGTGAGAACTGTTAAGTCTACAAGGTGTTAGGATCCAAAATAAAAACCAAAGGCCAACAGTCCTGACATTGGGGCTCCAAACATCTAAAACAAGATCTATCCAATTGCACAATCTTTTAAAAAATTTCAGTAAAATTTATTTTCTTTTTTACTGGAAACAAAAGCTCCATTGATATAGTGAGAACTGTTAAGTCTACAAGGTGTTAGGATCCAAAATAAAAACCAAAGGCCAACAGTCCTGACATTGGGGCTCCAAACATCTAAAACAAGATCTATCCTATTGGACAATTTTTTTATCAATAACGGCAAATTTTATTAAGACTATGAAGCTTTAATTATAAGATAAGAGGAGGTAAACTGTCTTAACTCCCCCACCAGCACAATCTTTTAATAAATTTCAGTAAAATTTATTTTCTTTTTTTATTGGAAACAAAAGCTTCATTGATATAGTGAAACTGCTAAGCCTACAAGGTTTTAGGATCCAAAATAAAACCAAAGCCCTTAGGCAGCCGTTGCTACCTAAACCGCATATACCCCTTAGATTACTATATACAGCTTTATGTCTGGCAAACTGTCCCACCTTCCATACATTTCTTGACAATTGTTGACACTGGAACTGGGCTGTTTTTAAGTAGGTAGCTAAACACAATGGATGTGTCTCCTTCCACCAAGAAATCCCTATAGTGGCATTCACTCGTTCTAAATTAGATCCTTGATATAATGCAAAACGTTCTGCCCTTAGTGAGTTCCCATGACCTAATGGGTGCTCCCATGACCAGTCTTTTAAAAAGCATAGGAGGTATATGCCTAGAGCCTCACTTCCAAGCAAGGCACGCCCAAAATGCCCTAAGGCATATGCCAATGGCACCGATACCTCTGAGGCGTATGCCTCAGGTCCATGAGGCACACACCTCATACATGAGGCAGGCTAGAGGCGTACACACTACACACTGGTGCATCTATGCACACCTCATGTAGAAAAGGCAGAAAGAAAAAAAAAAAAAGAAAAAAAAGGAAGGAAAGGGAAGGGAACTACGTCTCAGGTCCATGAGGCAGGCTAGAGGCGTACACACTACACACTGATGCGTCTCATGCACACCTAATATAGAAAAGGCAGAAAGAAAAAAAAAAAAAGAAAAAAAGGAAGGAAAGGGAAGGGAAAAAAAGAAAGAAAGAAAGAAAATGAAATAAAGAAAAAACAGGGAAAGTGATCAAGAGGAAAGAGAAAGCAAAGAAAGCTTGGGCGGGGCTGGAGACCCTGGACCCCCTTGGTTGGGAACTCCCTCCAGTCCCCCACCCCCCCCCCCCTTTCAGATGGTGTTATGCATCTTCATTCTTCTTAAAACAAGACATTGAATAAAGAGAGAGAGAGAGGTCCTCTTTCCTCTCCTTCTTCCTCCTCCTCCTTATTCATCCTCATTCCCCTCCCGTTAAGGAAGCATAAAATGCCTAAGGCATATGTGAGAGACACTGATGCCCCTAAGGCGTACATGTTAGGTCCATGAGACACACGCCTCATATGCCTTTTGCATGAGGCATGCTAGTGGCATATGCACTCATGCACGCCTCATATAGAAAAGGCAGAAAGAAAAAAAAAATGAAAAAAAGGAAAGGAAAGGGAAGGGAAAGAAAAAGTGAAAATAAAGAACCTTGAGGTGAACATATTAGCAATACACCTCCATTCCCTTACAATTTCATCGATAGTGAAATCTTCAAACAAGGGCAAAGTTTTCACTTAATGCCCAATGGGTCACTCTTATTTTAATTGTTTCTAACAGTACCCTTATAGTTGGGACAAGGCTTGGATGATGAATATGGGTCTAGAATTAGAACAATCTAAGGACCAATTGGAAGAGAAGTCTAGAGAAACAAAAGTAGAAAAAGGAAAAGAAATGAAGTAAAGAACCTTCAGTGAGTATGTACGAGGAGGAGACCTTGGGCAAAGGGGCAGGTGAACAAAGTGCAGCTAAGTTTTGGGTTTACTGAAGAGGCAGAGTGAAGATAATCAATTGGAACTTTAGAGGATTGGGCAGTGAAAATAAGGGAAGATCAATAAAGGAGTCCCTCAAGAGGCAAAAACCATGCATTACAATGAATTCAGGAATCTGAAGTGACTTTTTTTTAAGATAAATAAAAGTTTATTAAAACAGGAAAAAACAGGATACAAGGAAAGGTGATAAGCAGTCACCTGACAGAAATGAAAAACCCAAAGTACAACCAACTAAAGCTTAACACCTTTGTATGCCAATCCCCCAAAAATCCAATCACCCCGACAACCTAACCCCAAAACAAGCAAAAAGCACCAACATGACATGGCAAAGAAACCCAGACAAGAAAACTATACAGCACCCAAAACAAAACAGAACCCCCGCCCAAGACCCATAGCTACAAACCAGACCCATAATGGATTCCAAACTAATTGTTAGTTTTTTTACTACAATCTTCCTGGTTTCTTCTGACTGCTTTTGTTTTTCCTTACTTTCTTGTTAGGTACAAGGCCAAACAAACCTCCTTTTATTCTTGCGAAAACCTTTGAACTGGTATCTGTTGTTGACTTCTCTTAATCTTCTGAGTTTTGAATCTTCTTACAGTATTTAATCCTCCACCGTCTGCTTCCAACTTCCCCTCAGAACTCTTCCAACTTCAGGAATCAGAAGTGACTGTCCAAGACATTAGGTGGGTTTGGAGAATTTAGACAATAACTCAATAAGAAATATAAACTGGATTATAGCACCATCATGGGGTGCATCGGGGAGAATAATTACACTGTATTATAATAAGGTGTTTAAAGGTGTTGAAGAATTGATTAGGAGGTATTTAGTGAAACTCAAAGGGGAAGAGAGTCTTGAACGGATCCTCATAAATGTCTATGGACCAAACACTTAAAGAGGAAGTGAAGAAATTTGGGAGACATTGTATGCCATTAAAGGTTTGTGGGATGAGCCATGGGTGGTGGGAGGGGATTTTAAAGTTATTAGATTCACACATGAGACAACCAACCCCAACCAATCAATCTCTACTAGCATGAGGAAATTCAATTTGTTTATTAATTCCCAACTCTCAAGCCTTATTTGCACCCCATTGTCAGTACACAGGGTATACAGAAGAAAAACAGTCCCAAAGAAAAAGAAAACTGATTAAAAGAAGGAAGAAATCAAAGGAGATAGCAGCAGCAAGAAGGAGAAGACAAGAAGGAGAAGAAGAGTTTGGTTGTGAGAAGGCTGAGAAGAAGAGTTGTTCGTACTGCCCCTCCTTTCCCTAACCTTTCATTAAGAATTAATCACTAATTTCTGAAATTACAAGTAGGCCCTTAATTGGGCGGCCAGCTAATTAAACAAAATAAAAAAAAAAAGAGTTTAACAGGCCCATAAGAGAAAGCCCATTAACAAAAATAGAACGGAAATATAAAGATAAGTAACAACTGTGGGCTATGGGCCATTCGACCCATCTTCTCTACATATACCTGGATCAATTTCCAAAACAGCCCCACTTGAGCTAAATATGTTATCTCATCCCTCTTTCTTGAAGAGTATTTCAGACTGATGGCTTGAGGATATTGAAGCCAGATGAAGGGAGGAAACTACAAGTAAAATTTATTTGGTAATAAAAAGAAAATTCATTAATAGCAAAAATGGAAGTACAATAGGAAGGTGATAAGCAATAAACCAACAGAAGAAAGAACAAACCCAGCCAACCAAAAACAACCCACTTAACCTAAAAGGACCCCAAGCATCAAAACCTCACAAAAACAGCAATACATGACAACTCTTAACATCTCAAAAACAGAAAAAACAACTCCAACAAAGCCCCCAAAGATTCGATCATTCCTTCCCGACAAGATCCTCTTCCTGCTTCATCCCACGCCTCTCCCCCTTCCCTCAAATTGTTCTTCTTATGCCTCTCCTCCCTACTTTTCTCAGGTTCTTCAAAAACATTTCTAGTGAACACCTCTCCACCCAAGAAAATAAACCCAAAGCCTTACCAATCTTCACATCCCTATCCACAAGATTCTTCACATCCAGACATCCTTCCCATTCTCCTTCCAGCAATTCATTCATCTGATCATCTTTCCTAATATCTTCACATTCAATATCCTTTTCTTTTTCATTTCTTTTAAAAAATCCCAAACTCTCCACCTCCTCTTCATGCAAATGCACCACAGCAACCCTCAGGCTATCATCAGTAACCCCACCAAGAACCTTCCGATTACTGACTTTCATGCTTGCGCCTCTCCTCTTATAAACTCTTTTGTATTTATTGCTAGGACCAGCCCCAACCACCCCACTTTCAAATGCGAGAAGACCTTCACGGCACCCGATGCAATTTACTTGGACCTCTGGGTTTCTTCACAACCACCAATCCTTCACCTTGGACCTCTGAAGTCGACAAATCCTTCTTTCTACCCAAATCAACTACAACCTTTCCTATAATCACTTCTTCAACTTCAACATTATTTGAACTCCAATGAGATGGCAAGTTAATCTCCTCT